TTCACTGAGGAAAATAACGCATAGTAAACATGAATATTTCCTATTTGATTATCGTTTAAAAATGTTCGTATTTAAAAGTAATACTTTCATAACACGCACGCGTGGTGTTGATTCAAACTCAACATTTAAATGCACATTTACATGTCTGGCTGTAGCTGAGTGCGCGAAGATGCTTGCTAATTTCCAGAGGGTCAGGGTTCGATTCCCATTACAACCAGCATGGAATTTAAATATTTTTTTAACTTAATTATGAAAAAGCAATCGGTAATTGCAAATCGCTTCATTTTAATATGGGCGTATTTGAATTGAATATTTCTATACTAAATACTAAAATTTGTATACGTAAATGTATTACGAGTTGGGTTGGTGCTCTTTAATATGCGCATTTTTTTTTATTTAGCACGCTTTTTTAATTCTAAACTTCTTTCTCTCAGTGCACCGGTTTAATTTGTGAAATAGTCACATTTCGAGATAGTCGAACTTTGCACAAGCAATAGTTGATGATTAGTATAAAACCGCGTAACTGACATTGGCTGCCAAAAATTGGATTTGCTCACACAAGCTCTTGACTCAATCCTTATCCATTCGTCCTAAAACATACTAGCTAGAAAAGCGATTGCTTTATAAAAAAAGAGAACCATTTTGAAATATGAGTGTTTTTACGCCCTAGAAAATAATTTCTACAACTTCACATACGTGGTTTTGCATTTCGCTGATACGCGGCTTTGCATTTTGTTGTTACGCGGTTTTGTACTTTAAACGACGATATGTACCTAAATACGTTCAAAATGGCGTGCACAGAGTTTTACAATGATATTAAGGAAAAGACAGAAGTTTTGAAACAAGTTCACAGCAACGAAAAATATGACTGATATTTTAATGTTATCTTGTACTTAATTTTTTTTCTTTCATGAAACCTAGAGTACTTATCGTCACTAGACACGAATAAAGGCGCGAGCTCAAAAGTTGACGGCGAAAAAAGACGCATAAAAAAATTTCAGCGTCAAAGGCTCTTTTTCGCAAAATTTTTTTAAACACCTTTTTTCGCCGTCAAAACACTAGCGCGCCCTTATTCGTGTGTAGTGACGTTATAAGTACAATGCCGTACAAAATTATCGGAGGCTCTTTCATCAGATCACAATTTCTAATCAGATCTTTTAGAAAAATTTTGAAAATGTAGCTTTTGAGCCAATTAATAAAGTGAAAGTCTGAAGTTGCCAGCAAATTTCGTTGATTTATAGCATTTATTTTTTTTTGCTGACAGTGTATTCCATATAAAAAGAATTATCGAACATAGTTTGTATGGAAGAAGCTCTCAGTTAAAACAATACCAAAAATCAACTATAATTTTCACTTCACTTTAAAAATTCATTTTAAAAATTTTTATAAAAAGTCTGATTAGAATTGCAAATTTGTATGCAAATTTATGGAATTTTCCCGAGTTTAGCACAAAGTTTAACAATTGTATTTATATGTTTTTTATATATTTAGTATAAACTGTATTTTTATAAAGAATAAAAAAAGGTTCATGCCTTGTGAAAAATTCTCTTTGCTTTAGTTGTGAAAAGTGGTTTTGTTTTGTTGGCGTACGTTGTAATGAGCTCATGATCTCATGTTTTTATGTTTTTGTTTTTGTCTGTCAGAATAAAATTTCACTACATCCTTTCGCACGTCGAAATGAAAGAGAAGGGAGCGAGAGGCCCTCCCTAAAGTGTCCCGGTTTGGCAACAGAGATATCTGGCAGCCCTACACATAAGCAATCTTTTAAATGAGCTTCGCGCGTAAGCGGTTATTCAACGCACAGCATTACGTAGAAGTCTGTTGGTTTTTCATTTCTACGTAAAAATGGTATAGCAGTGCATGCATAACAGAGCCTATAGGCGGAGCTCTTGTTGGTTACTTTCGTAGGCTACAGTGGTCGCTAATACATGAATGTACGATTAAAAATTACCTTAAAAAAATACTTTATTGAGCTGTCAGGATATTGAGAAAATGGTCTTAGATTTACAATGGGAATTGCATTTACCAATTTTATTCTCGGTACCACGCCAACCGCACAAGATCCTGAACAGCCTTCATTATTTCAAATGCCTTTACTGAAAAGAAAAGCCTCTTGTGTGACTTCTCCATTAAAGGAGAGGGAGGGTTAAAATGTCAAAAGGCATTATAATATTTTCCTTTCCTATATATTGCTTTCTTATTTTTATTTCATTCGCTAAGCTTTGAATATAGCTCTCAACAAAAATCGGAGGAACTTTTTTGATGTTTCGGTAGGGGTAAAATTTGCGAAGCTGTAACGCATATCCCAGCACAAAATTTCGAAGGGCTTAGCATGCGTATTTCAGCATAAAATTTTTATTTTCATTAGAAGCACCCTGTGTTCGCTTGCCAAATGGTTGCATACATTTAGGCATATGCATAGTAAGAGGAAATGCGCTACAATTGATTATTAGCCGTCATCGATTCGCCATCAGTTAGCAAGTGGTGAAACGAACGAACTCAATGAGGTACAACCAAACTTGCTATCGTCTATCCGTGCTAGCTAACTTTGTTGTTGCTTTCACATGCAAAATTTTTCCTTAAGCGACCGGAACTCAAACATAGCGAGCGAGAAGTGGCGAATCGACGACGGCATGGCATCCTATTACACCCACAATGCACAAGATACTAATTCCTTATTAACAATAGGACAATTATCGGGGAGGCTCAAGAGGCCCCACAACAAACACTACCGAGAAAATTATTCCCGGAAGTTTTCTCGTGAAGTATGTAACCGTGACATATGTAACCGGCTATTGATGAGCTCGGACTCGTTTTTAAGCAGTATTTCGGTTCATGACCAAAAAAAGTAAAAATATCAAATCGTTTTCCGAGACACAATATAGCTGCTGTTACCCTCTAATTCCGTTGTCAAAGATGTGACAAAGGAATAGTTTGAGGCCAGCGAAGATTCTGAAATCGAAAACTAATTAACCAATGATAGTGTACCCACATTTTATAAATAAAGGTAGTCAATATATTTAAATAGTAAATTATTGGCTAATATATATATTTTATTAATATAACCTATCTGTAATACAAATTATATCAATTTTACATTTGATAAACAATTTTGAGTAGATAGAGGCAATAAAATATTTTTTGCCGCATAAAACTTGAAAATCTACCTATATGTGGTGTTTCCAAGATATTTTAACGCCCTTGAGTCACAAGTATATACAAGTATATTTTATCAATCATACCGATAATGTCATGTATTAAAAGTATTAAAAATGAAAATGAATAAAAAAAAATTAATCAGCAAAATGAATAAAATTAAGTGAAATTAATGTTTAATTTCTAACCTAACCCACATGTGTATGCGTGTAACTGAATCGCCTTTATATATAAAAATATTATCCTAATTTTCGAGCTTGACTCCCTAATCTGATATTAGAAAAAGAGTTTAGCCATGCGAAATTATAATTAAAAATATCTCAGATCAAACCGATAACAATATACTTCTAGAGTGGAATATACCAATTGCATGAACATCCTCTAAATTTATACTAAGAAACATAAAATTTAGTGCCAACCCCTTTTTTGGCAAGAGAAAAAGTGTTGGAAAAATCTTTTTGGGCCGCTCTAATGTACATACATACAATAATTATTTTGTAACGAAATACAAATTGTACGAAATTCCAGTACAAATTTGCAGGTTCCAGTACAAATTATACTGACTATTTGTTACTATATACACTTAGCATTTCATATGTTTTAATTTCAAACCGCTCTGCCGCTCGCCGCTTTGCCGCTCATTGCATGTCCTCGGCCTTACACTGTCAAGTAAAACAATTGCCAAAACTCAACGCGATTTTTAACTACTTCAAATTTACCGTTTATTATGCAGAAATTTAAAAGTTTTTTCGAGGGATTTTAATTAAGAAGTTTGCAATTTCGGTGAAACTTTGCCTAATTTTTTTAGTTTTTGCACAAAGTTCGAAATTCGGATTTATATGTTTTTTTTTTTAGACAATGAGCTATACTTTTTTAAGCAAACAAAAGAAAAATAGTCAAAACTGTCGCGACTATATTACGACACTATAAATACTTATTTAGGGAGTTCACAAGGTGTTGTATACTGTCGTACTGTAGTATGTCATAAACTTTAAACGGCTAAAACTATATTTAAGGAATTCGCAAGCTAACATAAAAGTTTTATTATGAAATTTCACACAATTAAAAAATAGTTGGTGGTGATTTCAAGTCCTCTAAACATTTATTTAGCCGTTAAAAACTTTACAACATAGAACAATACGACAAGTACGACACCGTGTGAACCACCCAAATGTATTTTCTGTTTCGTAGTACACAAAAAGAAAGATAAATGAAAAATAAACCATCCAAAAACTGTGATCTACCACACTTTTTTAAGATCTACCACATCTTTCCCAGATTCTACCATACAGAATTTTTTTAGTTCGATCACTGGTGGAACCCAGGTTAAAGTTAATGATGACTCTTAAACTTGTTTTCAACCGAGATTAAACTACATGTATGGCTGGATTTTTTGTAAACGAGCGACAAAAGAACGCTCAACTCGGGTGAAATTTCCTTTTAGCTACTTAAGCAATCCTGTTGGTATCTGGCAAGTAACATGTGATTAGTTTAAAGGGATTTAAACCCAAAAACCAATAGAAATGAGTTATTAAGTGAGGGATTTGCGTAATACTTATATATAACAATAATAATAGATTGGCGCTTACGGCGACTCCGAACGGCGATTGTATTTTTATGGGAAGCTGTTTTTCATGGCAGAAATACACTCGGAGGTTTTCCATTGCCAGCCGAGGGACGACCGCTGTTAAGAAAAAACCTTTTTCTATTTTTTTGCGATGTTGCTTTGACCCGGGCTTGAACCCAGGTGCTGATAAGTGAAAGCGCGCACTGCTTACCACTACACCACAGCGGCCGACTTATACTTATATATATCTACTTATTTAAAATATAAGTCTTGTATAAACGAAAACAAAAATTTCCCTTTCCACTTTCCCATTAACAATTCACAATAGAGCAGTTTTTTCACTTAGATACCAACACTACCCTTCCGGGGCCGTATTTTTTAACCGACCTGGCTGAACTCGGATAAATAGCCTAGTTTGTGTTGTTGATTTGCAGGTATTTCGTCATTTGAGCGTGTTGTCCTTGCTTGCAGCCGAGATACAAAAGAATGCACCTTATGTAAAGTTTCACAAAAAAATTTGCAAACAGATTAGGAAAATAAAGTTTTTATAAAATTTGCTTTTTAGCTCTTATCTAAATTTTAAGGCAATCATCTAACTCCAGCAAAGCAATTCTTTTTGCCAGTTGCGAGATTTTAAATTATTCCATTAATTTTAGCATGGGATATAATCATTAATCTGTAAAAGTAATTTATTATTGTACAAATTACACAAATAATTATAAGTTGTTATAATAACCAAGCTGTTAGTTAAGTATCACCTAATTTGCTTGTACATATGTGAGAATGTACACACGAGTATGCTTTAATCATTGTACACATAATGCTGCGGTATACAACTCTTAGATTTTATGTTTGGAGCTGAAAAATGCTCCTTCGCCATTGATGGTCGCCTGCTTTTCATGCAAATTGAAGTTGTTAAAGAGCTCATCAAACTCGCTGAATAGCTAAAATAAAACACAATAAAAACTTTCAATTGCACATAAACTGCGATCAATAGTGACTTACTTGTGCAGAAGAGCTCTCGTTGGGCACGTAATAGTCCACTTTGCTGCCGCTCCCTCTGGCCGCTACCGCCGCTGTAGAAACTGATGGCGCTAATGGTGTGTTGACTACGTTGAAATTCTGGTATGATTGTGTCCTAAATGAAGTGCTTTGGCCTTTGTTCAGACTTGGTGTTATGCCCAGGTATTGTGCTAAAAAAACGTTGTGGTGAAGGGTTATTATCTAATGTGGCCAAAATTTATGTAGCTTTAAAAGTATAAAAAACATTTTTACTTTTCTTTTTAGCTTGGAATTTGACTTGATTGAGTTGAGAGTTATGCAATTGCAGCTGTCTGTATGTTGGATAGGCTCTCTTTGATGGAGATGTATCAGTTAATCGTCCGTGTATTTGTGGGTAGAGATAAGTGGTCTCAATTGATGGTGTGTCATAGTGATGATATCTGCCTTCGTCGGGAGTGTAACGACCATCTGAGCTGAGCGCTAATTGAAATACCACTCTTGGGCTTTTACTGTAGTATTGGTACACCTACAGATTTTGAATACAATAAATGAAAAAAGAAATATAAGTTAATACATTCATTGCAGTGGTTTCCGAAAAATAAATCAAGAGTTGGGCAATTTTAGAGCAACTTTCTTTTTATCACATAATAAATGTATGAGTATATACATACTTTGAAATATTGAAACTCATTTCCGAATGACATTTCCCATTTGCACTTAATAATCAGCCCAATTCTAAATATTCCCGGCTAGTTCATTCCTCCCAGAAACCGCTTTTCTCGAGAAAAAAATCCTCCAATTCTAAACTATCGCGGAAAACCGAAATATGGGAATAGAAGTTCGAAAATTCGAAGATGCGAAGTTAGATGTGTTTTTTTTTTAATTCGCTTTTGGCAGTTGAAACCAGAGACCATACGGATTTAAGAAATAAAACTAAATATTGCTCTATAATTATTACTGAACAATGGAAAAGTTGTTTTCGTCTCGCGGGAGGATTATTTTAAGATGTAAATTATTTTCGTCTTATCATAATAATTATATGGGAGTTTTATTTTTTTCGTCTCGCGGGACGTTTACTTCAAGACGGAAATGAATTACTTCTTTTCATAGTAATAATATGGGATTTTTATATTTTTTCGTCTCTCGGGACGTTTATTTTAAGACAAAAATGATTTACGTCTTCTCTTAATAATTATATAGGACTTTTATTGAAATGGAACTCCTTAATTGAGTTCGGAGATTCGACGCGTTAAATATTTAACGCCACGATTGTTCATGTTATCTATATGTATCGTTCGTTCGAATTTCAAAAATGAGGAGTCAAATTAAATGGCTTTGCTTTTACATAGCTTTGGTTTTTTGAAAAGGGTTGCCAGATGTTAGCAAACCAAATTCCAATAATCTATCTCGGATATATTTGCGTTTAATTTTGTGAAATCGGCAGCACATGTACCAATTCTATTAAGAGAAAACGTGGGACGTAAATCATTGTCGTCTTGAAATAAACTCACGAGAGACGAGAAAAATAAAAATCGCATATAATTATTATGAAATGACGTAAATTATTTCCGTCTTAAAATAAACGCCCCATGAGACGAAAAATAAAAGTCCCACATAATTATTATGAGAAGATGTAAATAATTTTCGTCTTGAAATAAACGTCCCGAGAAACGAGAAAAATAAAAAGGATCATTCTAGCGCCTTTGTCTTGACCTGCGGACTGTTTCGAAGCCACAACCGATAAACTTAAGCGTAGAATACGTTATATTATTAAGATCTTATTCAAGTTAAAAAGGATCAGTCCAGCGCCTTCGTCGTGACCTGGAAAACTTAAACGTAGAATTAGGTTAAAAACGGTACATGAAATATTCATTTTGATTGTATTTAATTAAATTTAATAAATCAGTATGGATTGCAAAATATTGCTACTTAGCAGGCATTGGCCAAGGGTGCTGTTTTTGTGACTTTAAGCCTACTCACGTTAAAAACGGGGGATGAACGAACATCAGCGCACAGCGTGCCGTCTTGCAAATACAAGCCACCACAAGTGAACGATGCTTAACCTGTACTCCGAATGATCGTGCACGAAACCAGCAACCGCCGTATTTGATCGACTGCCAAAAGCACGACACTGCTTTCTTTTACGGTTGCCGAAAGCATGAGAGCTTATGTGAAAGACTGGCGAAGGCAAGATGCCGCAGTTAGCTAACTTGATTTGCTGCAGAAGTCAAATCGCCGCCTTTGGTTTGTTGCTGAAGGCCAGCAGTGATGCCAGACATTCTCTGTTAAAAATCCCACGAAAATGGGGAAAAAATCCCTCAATTACCCACATCTTGAAAATTTATCCCACAAAATTCTCAACGAATTTAAACATACACATGTTTCAGTAGTAAAGAAGTAAAATTCATATAAAATAATAATAATAGTTTGGCGCTTACACATATGTGCTTTTCCTCCAATTTGTGGCGGTCCCCTTGATGTTGTCACACAAAGGGGAGGGACCTACAGTTTTACGCCGACTCCGAATGGCAAGTGTATTTTTATGAGAAGCTGTTTTTCATGGCAGGAATACACTCGGAGGTTTGCCATTGCCTGCCGAGGGCCGACCGCTGTTAAGAAAAAACCCCTTTTTCTGCATTTTTTTCACTCATTCAATTTTTCACTTTCATTTTTTTGCTCACGCACAAAGGGCCTAAAAGAATTTTTTGGTGACTTTAAAATTGAAGCACATTCATGTGCTATTTAACATTTCATCAGATAATTTGTTCCGCTTTTTACATGAAATACCAGTTACAACTGAAAAGATTCTTTCTTACTCAGCGCTTGAATTGGTTAACGTAAGAAAATTTTCGAAATTGGCCTTATACTTTTTAACAATTATATACCACTTCACTCCACATCACATCTTCAGAACGGTTAATTACGTAAGAATGTCGAAAATTCTTGAATGTTGATCAATTATGCAACAATAACTGCGTCAAAAGAAAATCCCTTATTTATATGAAATGTTCCTTTTTCCCTTTTAATAATTTTTGATATCCCTCAAAAGAGGGAAATTACCCACTATCTGGCATCACTGAAGGCGCGTTTGACGTGTTGCCGAAGTGATGATACTGTAGTTCAAAAACATTCAACGACTTGCTTGTTTGAAATGAAGCATTGATATCACAGCATGATTCAATAACACAAGGTTCGATAAACTGACAGTTGTCTTTCTCGCACCGCTCCCATAGC